GGAAGAGTGGCTTTTCTGACCTTTGCCTGTTGGCCTTCCCTGGATCCAAACAAGGGCGGGGGCAGGGTTTCAGATCACGGGTAGGAACGGGTGTCCAGAGGGTCAAGACCCTGCATCTTCCAAGTGCATTGCCCAGCAGTCCTCCTGAGGCCTTATACCACAAAGGGGCTGGGCCTGGGCTCCGAGCAGGCACCTCCCAGGGCAGGTGGTAAGGCCAGGCCAGCTCTGTTCTGAGGACCCGTGGGGAGGGGGTGCCCATGGGCCTCCTATGCAGAGGTCCACTGAGGAGAGCCCAGGAAACACAGGACATTCTCAAAGAGCCAACCAGAGGGACCAGAGACATGGGAGAGAGATTCAGGGACTTGGGGGAGGTGGGTGGATCAGGATGGGGGGGTTGGTGGCACAATTCAGGGTCTACTGCTAACCGAAAGGTCAGTGGTTCAAATCCACTAGCCACTCAGAGGGCAATCTGCTCCTGTAAAGGTTCCAGGAAACCCTGTGGCCACTTCTAGTCTGTGCTCGAAATTACTACGATTCCACCAGCAGACACACAACACTGGAATTTGGAAGGGAGGAGTCCCCAGGGGCGGTGGAGTGTGGGGAGGTGTCAGAGGTGGGGTGGGGGGGCGGATCCTGGAGGATCCTCTGGGCAGCAACCTGTCGAACCCAGGCAGGGTTACTTGTCCCGCCTGAAAACCTGTTGAATGAGTGGTGTCGCAGAAGATGTGACAGGTTGACAAGGCTCTGAGACTCTGGGTGGGGTACAGAAAGGGTTAAAGGGACACCCCAGGGGGCCGCCCTGCCACCACATGCCTCCTCTGGGGAGTGGAGGGGATTCCCGCCAAGCGTGTCCTCTGGACCCCACCCTAGGCCCGCACCAGCCCGCAGTCCCTGTTGGCCCGCCGCGGGGCTATTCGAAGGAACCGCGTCATCAGTAGCCAGGGTGGAGGGGGTGCGGGGTCAGCCCGACCAGCAAATCAGATCGGCCCCGGGAAAAGGAGGGAGCAAGGGGAAGGGGCGCTGAGTCACCCCCGCCGCGTCCTTGGACTTTTCCTGCCCCCGACCCGGGGTCCCTGGGCTGGTCGAGAGCGCTGCAGACCCGTCTGTCCGGGCCGGGGGTCTGCGGAGGTACAGGGTCCACTGGGCGGGAGCGGGAATGGAGATCCGCTGGGGAGGAGCCGGAGAGACGGGGTCCACGGGGTGCAGGGTCTGAGAGACGAGGTCCAGGGGTCGAGATCCGCCAGGTTGAGGGTCCCGGGCACTCGCCGTGGATGCCCGAGGGGACCGGGAGGAGAGAGGCGCGGCGGAGGGGACTGGGGACCCTCGGCGCCGCTCCCCTCCGCTGGCTGCTCTCGCCCCCGCCCCTCCGCCGCCACCACCGCCACCGCCGCCCAGCGTCGCCGCCGGAAAGTTTGCGCGGCGGTGGCGGAGCGGCGCCGACCCCAACCCGGCAGCGCGGCACAGACAGGCAGTCGCCTGCGCCCCGACCGAGCGCTCCCGGAGGCTGGTGAGCACCTGCGGCCGCGGCCCGAGAGGGTGTTCCCGGAGCGCACCCGGGGCTGGGGCTGGGGACCGGGGCCTGGCGGGCGGGGTCCCTGGCTGTCTCCGCTGTCACCCCAGTCGGACACCTCTGCCCTCAACCCCGGGGATGAGTTAGCAGGCTCGGATGGTCACGGGGTCCCGCACCTCCGGGCAGGTTCAGGGGTCTCAGCCCCTACCCCGTCCTCTTGTACCCTGGGCGTGGTCTTTGAGGGGGTCGTCCGGTCGCCACCTTCCTCCTGGGACTCGCTCCTTCCCCCACCCCGAGGACCGCGTCACCCCGAACGTCTCTCTCCCCCTCAGGCCCTGTCCCCTCCCCTCCCCCACCATTTCCACGCCACAGGAAGGGTGAGGGGTTGACACCCCTCTTGGTGGCGCTTCCCACGCGGGTCACACGTGTGACTTTGACCCTCAGCCGACCAGGCGCTCCCCCTTCTCCCGCGTCTCTCCTACTCTTGGTCACGAGGGTACCTACCCTACCCCCATCCGCTGACCCCGCCAACAGCACCCTCATTCTCTGGACTGGCCAGGGCGGTTTTCCATCCTGCGGGCCTGGGGGTTGTGGGAGTGAGAGGGCGGGAGATGCGGTCCCTGGAGGGGTGAATGGAATCGCTGCTGGGGGGAGGGTGTCCCGCTGGGCACTGGAGGCCAGGCGTAGGGACTCTGTCAACAGCCAGGTGCCTCTGACCGGCTGCAGGCCCATGACCTTCCTCTGCCTGCTGAGGTTTCTCAAAACCACCCACGTGCTCCTGTTGTTAAAGGCTGTCTGTCAAGCTGCTTCCAACCCATAGGGACCCTCTGTAAGAATATAGGGCTTCCAAGGAATGGCTGGTGGGTTTGAACTGCCTACCTTGTAGTTAACTGTCCAGTGCTTATCCTACAGTGCCACACCAGGACTCCAAAGTGTTCCTGTTGTTGTTATTAAGTGCCATGGAAACGGTTCCAACTCACAGCGACCCTGTACACGGTTTCCAAGTAGTTGCTGGTGGGTTTGAACCACCCACCTTGTGATTAGCAGTCTAGTGCTTATCTTTCAGGTCAAAGCATCGGCCCCTCCACCACCCGCTCAGGTGGAGAATGGGGCGTTGTCACTGCCTTTCTTGGCAGATGGGACACCCACTCTGTCCTGCAGGTCCAATACAGGCTCTGAGGTCCCTCAGTCACCCCCAGGGTATACTTTGGGGCTGTGGCTGATACACAAACCTTCCAGAGTGGTGGCTAGCAGGTGTGGGTCAGAGCTAGTACCTGCTGGGGCAGGGGATAGCCAGAGAGTCCCCATTCAGGTTCCCACAGGGAGCCATGGGTACCCTCATTTCCAGTCCAGGTAGTCACCCGGCACAGTGTGGAGCCCACAGGGAAAGGGTCTCGGTACTGCCCAGGATAATAAGGTGGAATGATGGGGAACCACCAATGGGAGGGGGCACCTCACTTCTTGCCGTCTCATGGGTCCAAGGTTTCACCGCTTATTCATGTATGAATGGGGGAGGGAAGGGGTGGGGTGGGCTTCTGGGGTCCCCATGTTCCCCCACTCTAGAGCTGGAAGGGGGTGGGCCTGACACTGGCAATCAGGGTACCAAGCCCATTCCCACATGACACCTTTAGTCTTCAGTGATGAGAAGGCAGGGGTCCCCACTTTACAGGTGAGGAAACAAAGGCTCTGAGAAGGCACATTCAGGGTCCTAGGACCAGAGCTGGGCTCCCTGAAGTTGCCCTCTTGTGAGAGGCAGTCCAGGGCTACACTCTGAGATGCTGGGTGAAAGTTCAGACCCTTCATCTACCCACCTCTAGCCCTTCCTAGTTCCCATCAGAACCTGAAAGGGGGACCAAAGCCAGTCCTCGCCTTCTGAGGGGCCCGCCTAGGCCTCTCCCCACCCCTAGGGAGATGGTAGCCTGTGAACCAGAGGGGAGTCCCTGTTTCTGGACCTGGCTGCCGTGGGAAAGTCTGCGGGTGCAGCACACCTCTTCTTCACTCTGTCCCCCACCCGTTACTCTCAGGGGCCCTAGACTAGCTGACCGCCCACTCACATGGCAGTCCCTGCTGGGCAGCCCCACTCTGCAAAGTCCGAGAAGGGGTATCCAAACAGCTCCCATGTTTCCATGGGGAAGCTGGCTCTAAGGGGTGCCCTCCCTCTGAGGTGGAACACAGCCCTCCCCCTGCCCTGACCCCAGGGCCAGTGCCCCAGGGACCTCTAGGCAAGGACAGCTTATCGGCCAGTGTCCTCCCTGCTTTCCCTTGTCCACTCTGCCCTGCCAGCCCTTGGCACCCTCTCCCTACCCCATCGCCCTCCTCCAGGTCCTCCCAGGTGGGTTAGGGCCAGAATCAGGAGGGCTCAGCTGGCCTTGGATCCAAGGAGGCAGACTCAGCACTGTTCCTCCTCAGCCAACTGCCCAATCCCCCCATTCCCCAACTGCCCCCACACCTCTGCCTCTCAACATTTTCTCCCTGTCCGACTGTTCACACAGCTATCTGTCCAGTCATCATTCCATCTGTCCATAAATCCATCCAACCATCCATACATCTGTCCACACGTGCATACACACACCCATACGTCTGTCCACACGTACATACACACAGCTGTCTCTATATCCAACCATCCATACATGTCCCTCCATACAAATGTCTGTCCATTCCTCCACCCAACCATTCATCTATGACATCCATCTAGCATCTGTCCACCCACCCATATGTCTGTCCATACATCCATCTATCTGTCCATCCTCTCCCAGGAGCCTAGGTGTGCCCAGAAGAAGGGCCTTCCACAGCCCCTGAGGGGCTCACCCAGGATCCAAGGAAGCCGCTCTCTGTTCCCGATGCGTAGGCTGTAAAAGCAGCCACGGCTGACTTATGGGGCGGCTGCTTCCAGACACCCAGCTCATTACGGCACTGCAAGGGCAGGGACCCCAAGTCTGGGCTCCAGGCCACCACTACAGTGCTAATCTTAGGAATGGGCCCCAGGGGCCATGGGAGCACACAGATACTCCAATCCTGGGAAGGGGGGCAGGGTGTGACAAAGACCACCTGAGCTTGTGACCCAAGTCCGCATAGCAGGGACCTGGCCCAGGGCCACTTACCAAACATGGCCCTGGTGACTGGAGTCACCGCTGAGGCTCAGTGATGGATGGCCACCACTCCCGGTCGGTCAGCCTGGCAAGAGGCCTTTCCCAGGGCTAAGAATAGGTAGAGGTGAGGAGACGTCCAAGGAGCTGGGTAGGACTGACAGCGCCCCCTACCGAGAGCTTTGTGAGCACAAAGGGGAAGGGACTCTGGCTGTTCCCCACTCAAGGGAGACGGTGGAGCCCCACAGCCCTGGACAAGCCTGCCACTCCCTCCCCCACTTATCCAGCAGGACCCAGAGACGTGGACCCCCAAGTCCTGTTACACTTGCTCTTGGCTCCCCGGAGGAGTGAGCACACCCACGAGGATCCCTTTGCCCAGATGTAGAAGGCGGCTGCCCAGAGGCATGCCCCCCACCCAGCCACACTGCCCCCACCTCCTCCTGCTGCTACTGCTGCTGACCCTCCAGGTGAGTGCTGAGGCCCCTCCCATACACACCCGGCTATCCCCTCAGCTCAGGGGCTGCGTCTTGTGCTCTATGCTCCGCCTGCCCTGTCTGTCTGTCCATCTTCCCGGCTGCCCATCCATCTGTGCTCCAGCCACAGGTCCCCGCCGCGCAGGTGATGGACTTCCTGTTTGCGAAGTGGAAACGCTATGCAGACGAGTGTTCCTACAATCTAAGCCTACTGCCGACCCCCACTGGTGAGCTCCACAGCCTTCAGGCCAGCCCTCTCCCTGGGGGTACCCACCCCCACCCCGTGACAGGCCACAAAGCAACCACAGAGAAGCTGGGATCACCTGGCCACAGTTAGGAGGAAACAGGACCAGAGGCCAGGGCTCAAGGCGTCCAGCTCAGTGAGCACAGGGCAGGGGGTGGGCTGAGAGGCTGGAGTGACGTTGACGGTAAGGGTCCCCAGATAAAAGGGGCTCAGCTCCCAGACAGGGAAGGACTGCAAGAAGGGTGGTGGGAAGGGGAAGCCCAAGGTGGCTTGGGACATGTTGGGAACTTGCATTTCCAGGGAAGGTGGCTTTGGGTAGAGTGGAAGTGGGGGTCTGCTCCAAGGGTGGGGCATCAGGAGGCCTAGTCCCAGGTCAGGTGGAAGGAAGTCAGCTGCTCCAGGTGGCGATTCTAGGACAGACGCTAGGCGGGGTCAAGCCCGGCTGAGGGACCTCATTTGCCTGCCACCCTGCCACCCTGCCACCCTGCCACCCTGCCCTGCAGAGCTGGTCTGCAACCGAACCTTCGACAAGTACTCCTGCTGGCCAGACACCCCTCCCAACACCACAGCCAACATCTCCTGTCCCTGGTACCTGCCCTGGCACCACAAAGGTACTTCCTGGAGGCCCAGGGGGTGGGAGTGGACTAAGGTCTCAGTCAGCACGGGAGATAACCTGACCACCATCCACCCCCAGTACAGCACCGCCTCGTTTTCAAAAAGTGCGGGCCGGATGGGCAGTGGGTGCGGGGACCCAAGGGACAGCCATGGCGCAACGCCTCCCAGTGCCAGATGGACGTGGACGAGCTGAAAGTCCAGGTCAGCCCTGGTGGGCGACAGGTAGTAGGAGGGTGGGCAGATGTGGTGGGGTAGGCTGGGGGTCACCCTGACTGCTCGTCCATCTTTGGCAGAAGGAAGTGGTCAAGATGTACAGCGACTTTCAGGTGATGTACACGGTGGGCTACTGTCTGTCCCTGGGAGCACTGCTTCTCGCCCTGGTCATCTTGCTGGGCCTCAGGTACCTCTGTCTATCTGGTGGTGGTGGTGGCCAGTAGTGCAGGAGGCGGTGTCCATGGGCAGGGTAACCAGCTGACCATTGTCCCCACAGCCAGCTGCACTGCACCCGAAACTATATCCACATGAATCTGTTTGCCTCCTTCGTGCTAAAGGCCACCTCCGTGCTGGCCATAGATGCTCTGCTGCAGACGCGATACAACCAGAGTATCGGTGATGACCTCAGCGTTAGCATCTGGCTTAGTGACAGGGTGAGTGGAAGCCCCCCAGGAGTGCGGGGAACCTGGCTGCCCCAGCTGACCTGCACCCATGTTTAGGCAGTAGCCGGCTGCCGAGTGGCAGCTGTGTTCATGCAATATGGCGTCATGGCCAACTACTGCTGGCTGCTGGTGGAAGGCGTCTACCTACATAGCCTGCTGGGCCGGGCCACCTTCCGCGAGAGGAGCTTCTACACTCTCTACCTGGGCATTGGCTGGGGTGAGTGAGGCTGCCAGGTTCAGGGGGTTGGCAGCCCCTCAGGGCTAGACCTGGGACCACAGCCACTTCCCTTCACCCCATGCCTTACAGGCACTCCGATTCTCTTCGTCATCCCCTGGACAGTAGTGAAGTGTCTCTTTGAGAATGTCCAGTGAGTATGAGTGGGCAAAGGGAGTAGCTGGACCCTCGCCCCTTACAACCACTCTGTGCTGGGCATGTGGACGTGGGGTGGGGCCCCGGGGGCTTCGGTGGAACCCAGTGGGGATAAGTAGGCATGGTGTCTGCCTATCTCCATCCTTCCTGAGGTCACATCAATTGCTGGGGGGAGCATGGGGGATGTGTGCCCAGGGCTTCCAGGATGTCAAGCATGCCCCTTGGGGTGAGGTACAGGCCCAAAGTGTGCCCAGCTCCTGGGGTGAGGAGTGCAGGGTGTGAACCTCATCCCCACAGGTGCTGGACCAGTAATGACAACATGGGCTTTTGGTGGATTCTACGGTTCCCCATCTTCTTGGCCATCCTGGTGAGGAAATGCAGCCCCCTGGCCCTGCCGGCTGACAGCACCTGTCCCCTGGCACTTGACCAGGATGCTGGCTGGCACTGTGGGCGTCAGGACAGACCGCCTGGACGTGGTGGGCTGTCATCTTTGGACAGGTGTCTGCTGGTCCCAGCTCTGCTGAAGGCGGGAAGCAGGGACAGGTGTGGGCCAGTCAGGACTTTGAGCCATGGGCTGTCCATGGGCTGTCCCCCAGCAGTGTTCTCACCACTCACAGATCAACTTCTTCATCTTCATCCACACTGTCCACATCCTGGTCACCAAGCTGCGTGCCCATCAGATGCGCTACACTGACTACAAGTTCCGGTGGGTGGTGGAAGATGGAAGACCTTCCCCCAGGGGCGCTTTCAGTGGGGAGGTAGGCTGGGAGGGACAGGGAGGTTGGAGGCTTAGGCTCTGCCCTCACAGGCTGGCCAAGTCCACGCTGACCCTCATCCCCCTGCTGGGTGTCCACGAGGTTGTGTTTGCCTTCGTGACTGATGAGCACGCCCAGGGCACACTGCGCTCTGCCAAGCTCTTCTTCGATCTTTTCTTCAGCTCCTTTCAGGTGCCCTCACCACCCCCCACAGCCTGACCTCTCCCTCCATGGGTGCCATTCGGACCTCCGTCCCCCATGGGTGCTGTCCTGACCCCTTCTGCCCCCATGGGTGCCGTCCTGACCCCACCTCTCTCCCCATGGGTGCCGTCCTGACCCCACCTCTCTCCCCATGGGTGCCGTCCTGACCCCACCTCTCTCCCCATGGGTGCCGTCCTGACCCCTTCTCCCTCCATGGGTGCTGTCTTGACCCCTTCTGCCCCCATGGGTGCCATCCTGACCCCACCTCTCTCCCCATGGGTGCCGTCCTGACCCCTTCTCCCTCCATGGGTGCTGTCCTGACCCTACCTTTGTCCCCCATGGGTGCCGTCCTGACCCCTTCTGCCCCCATGGGTGCCGTCCTGACCCCACCTCTCTCCCCAGGGCCTGTTGGTAGCTGTTCTCTACTGTTTTCTCAACAAGGAGGTCGGTGGGGGGTCGTTGTGGGGGGCCTTGGTAATAGGGGTGGATCAGGGGACCTGGGCCACAGGGGACCAGGGATCTGGGGGACACTGGCACAGGAGATTGGAGGGTCTGGGGGGCCCTGGCACAGGGGACCGAGGTGGGTCTGGGTTGAGGGAGCTCTGGCCCAGGGGGACAAGGTGGGTCCCGGGGGTGCCCTGGCACAGGGGAACCCACTTTGCTTCAGGTACAGTCAGAGCTGCTTCGGCGTTGGCACCGCTGGCGCATGGGTAAGGCCCTACAGGACGAGCACCGGCCAGGCAGCCATGCAGCCCGACCTGCCCTGGGACCCCCCAGTGAGAAGTTGCTCCTGGTAAGGAGCAGTGGTGGCGGTGGAGTTGGCCCGGACCCCTCCACAGAGACCACCTCGGTTCACGGACTTCCTGGGCTGGCCGAGAGTCCCTTGTGAAGCCCCCGGACTCCACTGGGTGGACTGTGTATACCAAACAGACATTGTAGACACCCCAGAACTCAATGCTTTAGCAGGCCAGAGGGGCAGGGAGCCCGGAGACCTGTGATCCACGTCCCCCACATGGTGGTGCCACCCTGGAGGCAGGGGATGAGAGAGTTTTGTTATGACCTGCATGCTGTGTGTTCCATGTCCCTGTGTCCCCCTGTGCATGGAAACCCCAAAAATAAAGAGTTCCTCATGCAGCGTGCACGCCCTTACAGGGGCCGACTATAGGGAGCAGGCAGTCCATCACAGGGACCCCTCCAGTCACCCCTGTTTTACTGAGGAGGAGGTTCAAGGTCAGAGAACCTACCCCTTTCTCTCATCCCCATCTGAGCACAGCTGGTGTGACAACCCTTCACCCCAGGGCAAGACAGGGACTCTGTCTCCCTATGGGCCAGATTCAATGCCTCCTCTCAGCCTTCCCCCACAGCTCCCCAAGGAGCAGAATCACCTGCAGAGGGGATATGAAGTCAGAATGCATCGGAGGGAGGCCCTAACCCACCAATGCATCCCTACAAAGCCCACGGGAACACTGCTTACCAGAGGTTTTTTCTAGAACCACCTTCCCTGGAAGCATCCAGCATGGGGACACGATCTCAAAGTAGAGGACATTCTGCCTGGGCCCCTGACTCACACCAGGTCTAGCAGCCCTGATGGTGCAAACTGTTGGCACTCGGCTTCTAACCAAACAATTGGATGTTCAGTTCACCCAGAGGCACCTGAAACATCACCCACTGAGAACCCTGTGGGCACAGTTCTCCTCCGACACACACGGGGCACCATGAGTGGGATCTACTTATGAAACATCATCCACTGAGAACCCTGTGGGCACAGTTCTACTCTGAC